AAAGAGCGTAATATAAATGCAACGAAGCAATGCATGTAGTGATGATTTCAAATATTAGAAATGTGCTTAAAAATCTTGTCGTGTTGGCTTAATAATAAATCCAGATAGTACAATTGAAAAAATTTTAAAAAACACTATGGCAAACATATTCTGAAGAAAAAATAGATTTGGTTTCACTTTTAAACGTAGCAGGACTTCAATATGTCAAATAATTAGAAGAAAAGTGCCAGAACTTATTTTTATGTCATTTCGACTTTTTATTGTATTTGTTTGTCGTGCACCCTATTACATTGCATCATCTAAATTTATTGTTAATACAACATGACAAGATTTTTAAACACATTTCCAATATTACAAAATCATCACTACATGCCAGAGCTCCGTATGGACTCAAATTTTTGAGTCCAGTCCAGTCCATGGACTAAAAAAGTCTAGTCCAGTCCAGTCCGAGACCATGAAATCCAAAAAATCTGAGTCCAGTCCAGTTCACATGGACTGGACTATGGACTCAGTCCAGTCCATACGGAGCTCTGCTACATGCATGCTTCGTTACATTTATATTACGCTCGTTAATTGAATGACAGAACAGAAAACAAGTTCCTGTTCCTTGATTAATTAATTGATATAGGGAACCAAATCCTCAATCTTTTGGAAAATAGCTTTTTGTATTTCTAATAGGCGTGTTACATGAGAAAACTATCTTCGAAACGTCCGGTCGTATTGAGTTATCCCTGGTTTACAAGGGTTTCTCGATGTGCTCTTTGATTTGATAAACGGAGAATTTTGCCCAAAATGCTCTGAGGTCGAGTTTCTAGGCTATCTGAGCCAAGTAAGAAGCGTGTGACAAACTCAAATTCTATGTAATAAAAGATACCATATTCAGAATCAGGATCAAAAATCGAATCGATTGATGTGTATTTCAAAATTTTTAGTTGATTATCATTTTTTGGTGAAAATCTCGAAGATTTTTCAACGTGAAAATTTGAAAAAAATTAAAGTACTCAAATAGGATAGAGATGCACGTCAGTTGATCCGATTTTTGATCCTGATTCTGAATATGATATTTTTATTACATAGAAGTTGAGTTCTATTGGAGAAAATTGAGAGTTTCGAGCAGAATTCTGACTTTTTCGCCTTTGATTTAGAAAAAGTCCATACCGAGATCACATGATACGGAAACATTATCAAACCTCTACGCTTGTTCAGTTTTTAATTCTGTATCTAGCCATATTTGAACCAGGTTTCTATCTCTTTTCTGATCTGAGATAATTTAATTTTAGAAAAAGTTAAATTTTTAAAATTTACATTTTAATTAATTAATTTAATTAAAATTTAGAATTTAAAATCGAAATTTTCAGTTAGAGACTTGATTTTTTTCAAAATGTTCGCCTTTCAACGCCGATTCCTTCAGTGTAAACCTTGTTAGGGGTCTGTCTACAAAATATCCGAGCACATAGCTTCTTGAGAGTATGGTATACGATTTCTGACACAATCGACAGCGTAATACTTCTATGTCAGTAAACTTGTCATAAAAGCTACACCCAGGGAAAAACTCTATTCATCGAGGAGAATTTGTTCGAGGATGCCAATCCAGGGGTGTTATAAATCAGTTTCGTTAGGATTTTTTTATATCAACAACAGTTTTTTCATTGTCTGTTAACATGCTCATATCTTTAAATATGAAACTTTCTTTAATTAAATTTATTTTCACTCAAGCTACATGATGCCAAGAGAAAAAAGAAAGATTTATGTCAAGAAAATCTTCTCATTAACTAAGAGATGTGATTAAAATATAATGTATTACTGCTTATAAGACGCCGCAATTCCGAAAACATAGCACTAATTTGCTTTTGGTTTATTTATACATCATTCGATAGAACTTTTCGAGCTGATCAAGAATATTGAGGTTTTAACCCTTACAACCAAATTTTAAGTAAAACAATGTAAAAACCTCTAAGGGCCTTAAATTACAAAAGTTCGTTAGCTGATGAAAACTGTCGAAAGCTATTTTAAGTTCCATTTTGAACCCTCTCCGTTCTTTTTTCTCGATCCAGCGTATAGAACTGCCTCTGGAAATGTTATTTAGAACCTTATCGCATATAACGTGGGAGCACAATACCGCCAACAAATTTTGCAAACCCATCTAGTTTTTCTTGTTAAGAGATGTAGTCTTAATTTCTATCCCATTCGATTCGTCGTTACGCAAGCAAAAAAAGTGCGATTTGCTTTTTGAAAAATGTTGCTCCAGTGCTAAGAAAATTCATTTTTTCTAAATCAGTAGTGAAAAAGTGGAAATTCAGCCCGTAATTCGCACTTTTCCCCATTAGAACTCAACTTCTATGCAATAAAAATGTCATATTCGGAATCGAAGTCAAAATGTGTTTAAACAAAGAAAACTTAATATTCCAAATTGGTTTTTTTGATGATATCTCAAAGTAATGTAACAATAGCAAACGGCCTTACTCATCAACATCACCTTCGTTAAAAATGATGAAAAGACAGATCCCGTTTACGCTCGAGCCATGCCCAATATTGATTTTATCGTTCTCCAGAAATACTTCCGGCCTGAACGAAACACGACCAAAAGTAATTGAATTGAAAAATATTCATAAATCTACGTGTCGTTTCAATTGAAAGAAAGAATTGATCTTATTCCCGCAACATCTGTTGATTACCTTTTATTCAAATTTCTTTGATGATAATTACACTCACACATCATATGCAGAGAAAGTTATCAAAAAACGGTATTTATTTACAAAATGGCTCACCTGAAATTTCTTTGTCGTTTTAACAATAATATAAATTCATTTATGTTATTGTTTTGTATTTTTCTTGTTTTAAAGCCTAGAAAATTCAATTGAAAGAAAAAACAAGGAAAGATGAACATCTTTTGGAGCTGGAGTCGGATTTAAAAACTCTAGTAGAGGCACCAGAATCGGACAGAAAAGCTTGGAGCCAGAATCGGAAGAAGTCGGAGCTGACCAGCTCTGTTTCTGATGGCTATCTAACTCTCACCGATTAAGGAATCGCTTAGAAAATTGCGATCATAAGTAACAGTTAATATTCATTTATATCTCTAAGGCATAAAAGGTCTTGAAAGAAGTGTATTGCTCAAACTATCGCTTTGCCTATTATTCGCTAGTAAAACCATATTTTCTAATAATGTAATTATTTCTGTAAGAACGATTATATTCATAATTTAATTGTATATTATAAAACACTACAAAGTTCAACTTCTCTTTTCCAGGAATGTATTTGATCATTCTTTTTTATTTACATGTGATGATTACATGATTTACATGGTTTTTATTTGCATGTTTTTCATAATGACAAACAACATAAAGAAAAAACATGACTCTCTATACACAGGTGTTCATATTTACGAGTGCCGTGTTATTTTAGAATCAGGAGAATAGCAAGGTTCCGCTAGGAAAACCCACAGGACCTAAACTTTCTGGTTTACCAATAATGTTTTTACTATTTTTTCCTCATGACCTTTCGAATTATGAATATTAAAAATCAAAAAATAGGTTTGATGGACAGGTCATGTGTCTTTTTGTACCGTCAATTTTCTAGCTCAACCTCCATATTACTCTGATTCCAAAATAGCACGGCAATCGGTTTTTTCTTCTTTCAGTTCTCATCATAAAGTTATAAACTAAGAATCCATGAATTTTTACTGTCTAAATGTGATCAAAGGATGTGAAATCAACGAAGAATAAATCCAGTCTAGTCTTAGGAGCGCACTAAAATGTGACTACTTAAAAATATTTCTTAGCATATAACTCCTGCACATACAACGCTTAATGGAGAAAAGTAATATACCGTTATCGATTTTATAAAATCGAACTATGTGCATGTGTATCATAATCAAATCGAGAACCATATGTTTAATCTCGAAATACGTGACACAAAAGCTTACGTAATTACTGCCGTGTCTGATAAAACTTGGATATCTAACGACGATATTGCACCAGCATTACATATCTTTAACCTATAAAATACAGATTCAACGAATATATTTCTTTAAATTTTTCTGTTGATAAAAGAATGGAATGATTTTTCAACCATAGATTAATTTTCTTTACTATCAAATCTACTTTCTTTTTTGTCTTTTTGTTATGCTGGCCGGAGATGTTATGATCTCTTCTCTCATAAAAAATACTCGACATATAATTGTTGTTTCAATACTAATAAATAATTAACTCCATAATTATCCATTTACACTAACATTCTTATCATTTCATTAAAAAAGAGCAAATAATTACACAGTTTCATTCAGTTCATCACACTCTTATCCCCTCAAACTAAATTCGTTTCCTTTTCGTTGTTTCCCGTCATAATACGCTTATTGGTCAACGAGTTCAAACGTCAATAACTTGAAAGTTTGATGCTTAAAATTACTTGCAAATGTTCTGGAAGACAGACAACTCGCTAGACTGACTACTGGTCACCACCAGATCCAGTTTTTTATCATTGTCGCAATTACCTGAAATTACACCATAGTGGCCTCCATCCACGGATAGTTCATTTGAGTCTGAAAAGTACCATACCCTTTGCTAAGCAGCACACTGACGGTGTTGTCGCTAAAATTGGCCGCCGCCAAATCCAGTTTGTTATCATAGTTGAAATCACCTGAAATTACAGAATATGGGCTTCCACCAACCGAATAGTTCATTTTAGTCTGAAAGGTGCCATCCGCTTTGCTAAGCAGCACACTGATGGTTTCCATCGTACTACTAAAGCCATGGGCTATCAGTGTGGCAAGTTTCAAGTCGAAATTCGAAGGTCGGACTTTCAAAAAAAACTTGTCTACAAATGGGCAAAAACTGTCTACAAATTCAGTATTTCAGCAATAAAGCACCATGGGGATGAACCAAGTTGGGGTATTTCATAATTCATTAGACCTACATAGGAAAATTAAGACTACTTAACAATTGCTAGTGTAATCAGGATTAGAATTGTTGCAGTACCACCGATAAAGGCAATTGTTTTCGTAATCATATAGACGATATCAAATTGTTTAACGTAGGTATAGGTAACTTACACGTTTGCGGACTACACCGATCAAAATACGATTCGTAGGATGAATTAAAATACCATTCCTCCACCATCAAATTCGCAATGAGTTCACCAATAGTTGGTAGAGAAGCTACTGAACTGCCGACTTTGAGCAGTGTAGTATTCAATGGTGACGGTAAATCTGTTAGCTGAAACTTTAATTCAGATAAACAAGATTCATTGTAGAAACAAGATAAGTCTGACTGTAGAACAGCATCCAGAACTAAACAGCCAATACTAATACGTGGCACATCAAATTCTATTTCACCGTCTATTACACTGTTACATGATGGTGTATATTCATATTTACAAGCTGCGATGTAAGCAGACGTATTGTAGACACCGGTAGTTGCTTTACAACAGGATGATAGTGAACATGTACAGTTATCATTTACAGATAAATACTGTATCGTATGAGATAGCTGTGTGACGGAGCTACTGATTGATGGTGTAGCCAGTTGATAATTTGTTTTTAGACGATTAACAATTTGATTACCTTTAAGTACTGTGCGTATCGTGTTGAGTGCAGCTGAAAATGAGTTTGATATTGTATTAACAAACTGTTCGCGTATTGCTTCAGCGTTAGCTAAGATGGTGTTATCGGGTTGAACAGATTCGGAAAATAGTGTCGTTGTTTGCAGTTGAATCAGCTGATCATCGATTGTTTGTGAAACGAGGGCGCACAGAATTTTCAGCATAGTGAAGAATGAATATCCGAAATAACGAAAATTATAGGGATGCTGATATTTTATATTGTTCAATGGTCGGTAGCTGATATAGTTTAGCCATTCTTCAGTGACAAAATCACTTGAACATATTTGATTCAATGTATGTGTGAATAAGGAAATAAAACCTTGATATTGAATTAGGATCGTTGAACAGGGACAAACTAATGTATTTGAATGATTCGATAGTAGATTTTTGTAGACAGAAACAGTAGGCTGGTTTACGACGCCGGTTTTTGTCATTGATGTGAGAGATGTATAGAGAATGAGTGCAATGACTATGAGAATAAATAGAATGAGATAGACGTAGGTAGAAATACGTTGATTTCTCAGAGCTTCTCCTTCTGTCTTTTCAATATCTTCAAACAAATTAATATTTTGAATTTTATTTTTGAGACTAATGCATGCATATTGACATCATTTTCTAGGAAAATTGCAAAGAAATAGAGATTAGATCTTAAAGTATTCTCTTTATAAAAGTGTGACAGCGATTGGCACAACACACTTGAAGTTAAGTCCAAATGAACACACTTTAGCTTGTAAGTTTGCGAGTTTTCAGTATATTTATTCTTTTTTTAGTCAAATTTTAAGGCGCGCGTAATTCAAAAATCAAGCACTATTTTATTTTTAGCTTCTTTATATATGATTCGATAGAGAATTTGAAGTTGATCAACAATATCGTCTTTTTAGCCTTCCCGGTGTATGTTTGCATGTCGAAAAATTGAAAATACGGGAAGGGTCTTAAAATCCGAAAAACTTTCTCATTTTGAAAAGTTGAATACTTTTTCTCCCTTTTATTCTAAAGCTCTCAAACACCTTTTTTCTAATTCAGCTTTGAAGTTGTTAGAAAATGTGTTTTTGATGCTTCTCATCTGTAATGTCGGTGCACGAAAAATTCATCTTCAAGGATATCTTGAAAGCGGATTCCTCGTCGGAAAAAGCCATCTAGTTCTTTTGGGTGGAAGATAGAACGTTCATTCTTGCGCCATTCGATCGACCTTTATTCGTACTACAAAAGTATAACTCGTTTTTTTGAAATTCCTCTCCATTGGTGAGAAATTCCACTTTTGCTAAATCAGGAGAGAAAAACCGGAATTCTGCCCGTAATTCTCAATCTTCTTCACCAGAACTCACTTTTTATGCAATAAAAGCATCATATTCAGAGTCAGCACCAAAGACTGATTCGAATGATATATAATTTGAAGGTTTCCGTTGATCTTCAGTTTTTGGTGAAAATCTCAGTAAATTTTGAAAAACACAAAAGTGGTTGTATAGGAGTTTTCACCAAAAAATGATAATCAACAGAAACTTTCAAATCATATATCATTCGATATAAAATCCATGGCATGACATGTACAACATCATGACTCCATTCCACTTCCTCTCATACATATTATTTTTTCTATAAAAAGAGTTTTAGTAATCAAGTATAAAGCTGTATCCATCATTTCTATACTCTCCTTTTTTTCTTTCGAGAAAATAGTTGATGACAGATGCAGAGTGTGCGCTTTTACTACTAATCGATTTTAATCTTTACATTGAAGCGCTTTCGGGTTTGTTTGTGTCTATTTTCTCAAGTATCAAACAAGGTACCGACTTCTTGTGTCATCGTCTAACATTTGAAACATACACGATAGAATGCTTCTCGCTCTCTATGTCTGCTTTACTTGGATTATTTTGTTGATACTGACAAACTTTTTTAAACTGAGAATGAAGATAAATGTCAAGAATCATGTTTCCGCTTGAAGCAAAGATAGATATGATTTTTCCAAAATTCATGTTTCTCTCTCTTTATTAATTATTATATTTCACTTCATTTTTTTACTTACCTTCTAAATAGTACATTACATTTATAATTCGAAAGTAAAGCAGTAAAGCATTCATAATTTAGAAAATAACGACTATAAAACTACTACGAACGCATGTAGCACTTTTATATTTGATATTTTTTCACATTACATTTATCAGCTATCGAGGCGCTGTAGGAAACGTGACTAAAGAAAACGTCTTATTATTTTGCATTAATATTTGTAAACAAAATAAAAATAATAACAATAATAATAATTGCGTATGAGGAAAGTTATTATTTCTTTAATATTTCAAGAAAAACAAAAATTAAATATACAAAAGAAATAATAACCAACAAAAAACTCTATCAGTACTGAAGACTATCTAATATTAAAAAAATACTATTAGATTTCATACTCAAACGCTGTTTTTGTCAAAGAGTTTCATTCAGATCAAAAACGATTTTATTTGATATTCTTTGAAAAATACAATATTATTTTTTCAGTTTCATCGAATTCAAGGTTGACACTTCTTCCTACGTATAGGGAACCATCGGATCTAAGATGTTCAGGTCATTTCAAATCTATAAATTCTATCTGAATATTCTACAGTATGAACGACCGTATGTGAATATCTTTTCTACATCACGAATTTGAAATGTTCGGAAAACAAAATTTTGAGTTGATTTTGATTAAAATTGAAGCTGAACAAAAAGATGAAGATTACAAAATAGTGCTGCTGCGATATCACTAGTGAAAAAAGTTTGTGTCAACGTCTAAAATACGATAGCTCAGACGTGACAGTGAACGTGAAAGCACCTTACTAACTATTGTTTGTTTATTTTATCGTTCTAAGAATAATTGTATGGTCTTTCTTTTTCTTCTCTTGCATAATATTATTATTAATAAATGAATTGTCTTCAACCTTATTCTATTGAATAATTCTTTTCAAGAATAAAAATTAAGTATTTCTTATATACTTTTTTAACCTGAACAAATTTTATTGTCTTGTTGACTCAAAAAAAGAGCATCAAATGATTAAACATTTGTATTATCTATAAAGACGGATTGCTCAGTGGTGCAAAAAGTAATTTTGAGATAGCCTTGAACAGCGTTTCGCTTACAAAAGTTGTTCAGTTGTTCAGAATCGAATTCTACGGGTAATAAGGGAACTTTCATGAAACTAAGTTTTACGAAAATTTAAACTTTTAAACTTTTGTTCTAAAGCACCATCCGGAAGCGAAACGCTGTTCAAAGCAAACACCGTTTTTGAACTTTGGACCTCCAGAAAATCGAGTATTAATTTTTTCTGTTGATTTCAATTTTCGATGTCACCATTGGATTCAGCATATTGGGATATCTATATTCGGTAATTTTCATAGCATACGGATACTTTCATCAGGTTTAACAATAAAAATATTTATGGCAATAAATTGGGGCAAAACTTACACTAAGAGCCGAGTTTCATATTTTTAAATTTTTTGAATTTAGTTATCAGGGCTCAAGATAAGCAGAACAATTTTCTTACATAAATAAGTACTTTGAACAATATTTGTTCCTACACTTTTGTTCCAAATCCTTTCCTGACGAGAACGTGCGTACAAAACCATGAAAAACCCTGCTCTTTCCACCAAAAACCCATTTCCGAAGTGATTTTCAAATTTCTTTCTCAAATATTGCTCGACAACGATAAAATGTTTTTTGTACATATACTTATTGATGTGGTCTATCGAATGAGACTAAAAATGAGCATACAACTGAAACTTTTTAAAGTTAGGCCAAAATAACCTGAAACTTTTATATATTTTAATAACTCGGTCAGACAATGTCTCTACGATCTGAAACTGTCAGAATATATATTTTAAGGTGTCCTCTACAAACTGAGATAGTTTGAGCCAAAATCTAAATGAGGAAATCTCCCTTAAAAAAAAAGAAAAACACATGCGGATTCATTAACACTTCAAGTTGTTTTAAGAAATGATACAACAAAATTCGTCATTGCCTCTTTCAGATTCGATAAAACAAAAAGAATATTTATTGCGTCTGTTGTACGTTGCTTTATTCCCTTGATTGTAAGTCAAAGATCATAGGAAATAAGATGTTTCTGCTTGTACGTAAGTGAGAGTTGTGACGGTTACTTTCACTCCGACCGTAGACCCTAATTGACACCGAAGCTTAACCCAGGTACTCCGGTACAAACAAGAGTTTTGTACTCGAAAAAGAACAAACTCTGTCATCAGAGTGCCTGAATTATGAAATAAAGCTTCCTTCACTTACGTTTGACTCAAAATGTAGATCGTGCCTAAATCTTATACTGCAGAACACTCACTGTTGTCGTTCTCTTTGAAAGTAGGTTAACCTCGCTTGTTCGTAGGACGTACTACATTCTGTATTCTGTTATATTTCCAAGATAATTTCTGAGTTTTACATTCACCGATCGCTCGAATAAATGTTGAGTCTATTGCTAAGTTTGATCATGAATTTGGTTTTCCAGCTAAATCAGTAACAAATATTAGATGGCTGTTCCCGTAACACGATACCTCTGTGATTAAGTTTTTGAAAATTTCTCTTCACCGTAGAACTGATATGTGTGCATCACTAGTTGCAGTTTTCCTCGCTGATTAAAAATATGACATTTTTAAAACTAAAACTAAAAATTTGAATTTAAAATCTTTTGAAATTTTGAAATTAATTTCGTGGCCTAAACCTAGACAGTTTTTTGAAAAAAAATTTAAAAATCACATCATTCGATAGAGAGTTAAATTCTCTACAAAATGACTCATTTTGTTTGGGATTCAGATGCTCATAACAAATTTTATAAGCATTTTATGTTTTTTACAACTCGAAAAACTGTTGCTTTTTCACGGGGTTCACGCCTTGGAATAATAATAGTCCATACAATGGTTTTAATAAACGTGGTCGATTTCAACCAAATTATCCGCTGAAATAGCCACATGCTGGCTGGTAATGAAAGGTACGAGGATATTAATACTTTACTGTCAAAAACACTGCCAGATTTAAAACAGAAAAACGTAGAACAGTACAATTTTATAGCAGATATCAAGGATAATATACATTCAGCAGTCAAACATCTTTCATTTGAAAATATCGTACTTAATAAAAAAATTTCTTACTGAAGAACGAGAAAGAATTTTTTTCTATCCTTTGTCTGACAGAACTCGTCGATTTGAATAAGAATCACCACACATTTTGACGACAAAAAACGGACCAACTTTTAATTTCTTAATTTTTTTCATAAAGGTTTGGTTTGATCTGATAACTACAGTTGTGATCGAGTTGACATTGCATGAACATTATTACAAAATCATGTGAAAAAAGGTTAAATAAAGATAAAGACTTTTAAGAAAAGCACTATCAGATCGATGAACTTTCTTAAATCAAATGTGAAAATATTTTATTTTATATTTTTGAATTAGAAAACACGTTATTTTAATTCAGCTGATAGGGCGTCAAATAAGGTAAAATTTGAGTGACTTTTCATCTAATAACTAATGGTTGAGGTTAAAAAGTATCAGCTCTTATGCGAAATAAAATTCTCTATTGAACTATGTCAACAAATCTAACTAGTTTTGAAAAAGAGTCGACATCTGTTGAAAGTGCATCGCCTTTTCTAAATCTTTTAGTCTTTAAACGAAAAATATCATACTTGATGTTCTAACAGGTGATGCAAAAGTTTTTTTCTCTTTTTGTTTCTACTATTGTTTTCACCAAAAACATCCGGAATGGTTGATTGTTTCTCCATTGGAAAGACCGAAATCTGAACTTCAGAAAAACATAAAATTTCGAAAAACCGTTCCATATTCAAAAGTAGTGCAAGATCTGTTTCCAGTGTATTTTTAAGCCTCACCAGTCGTGTTTTCGGATTATGCATATGAAAGTGGCTCTAGAAATGTGATTTAGAGCATTATCAAATATGACGTAATAAAAATAAAATTTTACACACCAAAGCAGCTTAATTGGCGTCAACAATTCTTACAAAGCTATCTCATTTTTCCTTTTAAGACATGGAACCTTCATTCATACCGCGTTCGATTCGTTTGCGGAAGCAACAAAGTTACGAATCGCTTCTTTTGAAATTCCTTTCCGTTGATTAAAAAGTTCATTTTTTCTAAATTGTACGCGAAAAAGTCAACATTCTGCTTGTAATTCTCAATCTTCTCCAACTTCTCCGATTATAACTCAATTCTGTGTAATAATAATATCATATTCGGAATCAGGAACAAAAACTGGATCGACTAATATGTGTTCCTATACTATCCGATCCTTTTGGGGATCTCGTATAACTTCTAGAAAAGTTATCATACACGGCTAGTTGACATATCACTTTCTTGAGAATTTTATGCTCTTCAACGGTATATGTGAAATGTTATTATTTGTTGAGTTCACGGACTCGGGCTGGACTGGACTCAAACTTCAAAAAAATTGGTAAAAAAATAAGTTGTTTTTGTATCATGGACTGAACTGAACTAAAAGAACATGTTTTTCATGGACTAAGACTGGCCTCAGAATTTTGAGTTCATACGGAGCTCTAATGTGGAGCACAGTAGACCTTCAGTGACCCTAGACAGACCTGTCAAAGAAGGAATCAGAGCAACCGTAAGAACAAGGAATTACCAATAAGGTTTAGCGGAGAATTTGTGCCACGCCCTGTATGGACTGTAAAACCAGAAAAAATCATCTCCATTGTTGGTGATTGTTAAGAACAAATAGTAAGAAATCTTCTCTTATTGCGCAGTACTTGGTAAAAATTTCATATATGTAAAAAGCTGAAGAGTCATTCATTCATAGTGAGATTACAGGGAGAATTGAACGAAAGAAAATATGACTCGATTGATCCTATTAACAACAAAAACATCGAATAGTGCCGAACCCAGGACCATGATATTCCGTGTAAACGCTCTAACCACCTGAGCTATCGACACACAGTTGGTACGTAACAATTCCTAAAATATTCGAGCTCACTGCATAGATTTTTCCTTCCGCATACCAAAAGCGCTCAGTCTTTCCCACAAATTTGGCTTCATTAAATCTTTTCGTCTGTCACATGTGCATACAGAGTGAAACTTGATCTTGATAGGAGATTTCGATACCGATCCTTGTAACAATGAAAACATCTAGTCACAGTGTCTAAGCCGTTATTCAACTTCGGCTTTCTGTGCTACCCTTATTCCAGTCACGAATTATGCCATAGATGACAGTATTGTTTCTTTTATGGATTAACCATTTCTTGAATGAAAGTAAGAAACATGTGCGTGTGTGTGTGAAAAGAAAGAATAGAACGAAATGTCAACAGTGAGAGGCAAAGGAATTAATTATTCATGGGCATCCATGAAAAGAAAAGTGATAAAAATAGCGAGTAAGACAAACACAGATAGGCACACTTTACCTGTACTCCATTCGTCATTCTCAATGAAGAAATGACGAAAATACCACACTAGTCGACGATCCTGCCTCTCTTCTTTCCAGATTCTCAGTTTTCTTGATTATCAGAGAAGATTCTTCTTAATCATGATATTCAGACAAGAATCCTTTCGAGAGGTTTCGATATGTTGTTTACCTACAAAATACATAGGATTTGCCAAATCAGTCCGCATATAGAGCAACGCAGATTAAACCGAGTATGGAGGAAGAACGCAAATCGGGTAGCAACGATGTGCAAACGATTGTTCTCCTTCGAGAGTACACTATTTGAAAATGTTTTCCTTTAAGAGTAAGTTTATAAATTGTTCTCATTCGAGAGTGCACAGTTTCCAATCGTTCTCAATCGAGATGGCGTCTTGCATAATTGTTCAATATTGTCGTTTTTCAAGTATCAACATCACCTACTATCAAAGGAGAACATTATCAGAACAACAATAGCACATCAATTAATTTTTCATCTAAAGCACCGACAAGCATATGTCAACGAGTCCTGTTCGACATTAATATCTTGCACGTATGCATACACACGCACACATTTAAGTTGTTTATACCCAGTTGAACACATGTTGCATTTACCAAAGAGGAACATCTGCGAATTCTGTTCTGTTTCCAGTAGACGATGTCGCTTAATCAGCAAGAAACATAATTGGGCTTTTATGCAGGATAGAATAACACATTGAAAAATGTCTTACAGTTGCCATTTAGCGTGTAACAACCACACATAACGCTAATCGAAACCGTTTTTTATCATTCAGTCAAAACATTTCATGGCGTTTAGCCGTTTAAACGGTTCCATTTATCGATTTTGGAAGTAAAAACTCGTTGAAACGATTGCATTAGTTCGTTGTGTGGAACGCAACCATTTTCTACCGTTACAAACGGGACGTACAGTGGCAAAACGCGTTTAGACGGCAAAAAACGGTGCTTTTCTCCCGTAGCAACTGTTTTAAGGGATAAATTCCCGTTTCGCAACTGACTGGGTATTGTGTCTACCGAGTCGTGGTTTTAAGCGTCCTTACCCGTTCAGTAACATTGTTCCTTCACACGCAATTCGATAGTGTCATCTTCTTGTGTGTATCGATGTACGGCTAACTGCTCGCTCGCATATCGTGAATATCACTTATCTAATGCCGTGGCATCGACAAAATTATGTAATTTTTCTTTTCTTTTCTCGAACACAGCTGTGTCAAAATTGGCACTCGTGTAGTAGGTCACGCGGGTAAATTTGTATGCAGGGCCGTCGCGAAGTGGTCACGATTGGGGGGGGGGGGGGGAAAACAAGTGGGGTTTTTTTGGGAATATAATCCCAAAATTAAAAAAGGGGGGGGGGTTTTGGGTGAAAATGGCCCAAAAACAAAAGGTTTTTTTTAGTTTTTGGGNCCCCCCCCCCCCCCCCCCCCCCCACGCCCCCCCCCCCCCCCCCCCCCCCCCCCCCCCGCGGGGGGGGGCCCCCCCACAACAGTGTCGTGTTTCTAGGAATTAATTCCCAAAATGAATCAAGGGTGCTCTGTTTGTGGGATCAATGCTACGAAAAGAACACTGTTTGTTTCATTTTTGGGAATCAATTCCCAGAACCCTGTCTTGGGGAACTCGGAAGTTCAGTTCTTTTCAAAAGAACTGATGACACAGTTCAGCTTCTATCAAACGAACTGTTGATACAGTTCAGTAAATTATGTTGCTCCGAGTAAATTATGTGATATGTCAGCTTTGCGCGCTCTTCTGTTTATTAGAAAAGGTACCAAGAAAAAACAGCAGGTAACAAAATGAAGTTTTATTTGAAGATTAGAAAAGTTGTTGCGTCATATAGTTTAAGATCACTCCATACGTATGCAGTTAGAACCGTATCTTCAACGTTCTTTTTCCCGATCGATGTGCCTCCGAGTGACAGATAAAATTTATGCGTTTGTTCTTTATCAACTGACCAAACAATAAAATTTTTTGGATGAAATCTCATAAGAACATCGTTCCATACAACTTTCCATAACTCACGACCGATACCGCGATGTCGATATTGTTTAAGAATAAACATATGTCCCACTTCACAATCATATGTTTGATCACCAACTGTTCTATTGCATTCAAGTGTCTGCCGACCAGAACACCACCCAATCATATTCTTATTATCGGTCACAGCAACGTAAAATATAAACGGTGAGTCTTCATAGAATCTTGTCGACCAACGTTTCAATCGTTGCTCCGTTGGATCGTCGTCTGATGAACTTTCTAAAGCATCATCCATTAGTTTGAACATCACGGGAAGATCGGCTACTACAGCACTTCTAATAGTTATCTTTTCTAAATTTGACATGATGATTATTGATTAGATTCATAAGAAATGAAGAATATTTATAACTAACCAGCACCAGACACGTGTCACTACTAACGCGTCACTATTGACAAGTTACTATTAACACGTCACTATTGATGTGTCACTATTATTAAAGCAGCAGATAGCATGTCATATCAATGTGACTATTGTGTGCTTAGTATCAAAATTTATCGAAGGAAGAAACGGCAGTAATCACTTTTGTCGTTCTGTTATTTACGAGCGCACGCAGTCAGACAATATCGAATGGCTGGTGGACTCGCAACTAGGACTGAAACAGTTCCGTTTCAGCTCAGCTCATACGAACTGGTCCAACAGTTCTAGTTCACATGAACTGAACTGCTCGACACTTCAGGTTCAGGCGAACTGAACTGTTGAACAGTTCATTTTGGAAGAAACTAAAGCGTCAAAATGGTCAGTTAGTTCGAAATATAGTGCTTAAAACCTTCAGTTCGTTCCGGAAAGAACTGTTCAACAGTTCAGTTCGCCTGAATTTGAACTGTCCAACAGTTCAGTTCGTCTGGATCTGAACTGATCGGGCAGCTCCAAAATCGAATCGCTACGATCTCTTCAATTTTGTTTCTTCTTTCCAACAAAAAATTCTTTATGTATTTTTTAATATAATTGAGGTTTTCTGGAAATAAAAAACGAAGGTATGTAAAACATGATTGTTGAGAACAATGAAAAACAAAACGTAGGAGGCGATGTAGTTCAAAAAAAAGTAGTGATGTGATATATCATTCGAAAGAACTCGGCAAGTTCTTACTACTTTGTATATGTCTGCACATGTGTGCACATATGCCGATATGTGTACAGCAAGAAAACATGACTTAGCAGTTGTTTATAAGTGCAGCATGTGACTAAAACCCTTATACAATGACATTCCCTAGTCTTTCAGCATAACATAATAGAAGGTAATGTGTGTAGTATAATGATGCGAATTGAAATTCTCGCCTCTATAGATATTGAAACACATAGTATCGACCTGTTAGTGAGCACAATCGACTTAGCATTATCGAAAATCCAGATGTAATGGAGAATGATGAAACTATTTGAAGCAAAGGTGAATAAAAAGCGAAAATTTTCTGAAAATTTAAAAATTTGTTTCCACCTGAATACTCTTCATGAGAAAACGTCCTTAAATTACTTTATTTTACTTTTAAAAATCTTTTCATACCCGTTTGTAGCTCATTGTCTCCTTTGTCTAACAATATGAGTATCACAAACTAATTTTTATTAACAAGTCAAATTTCTCAGAGGGGCTCTTAAAGTAATGCCATCACCATACCAAAATCAAAGATATCATTGCCTAATCCCAAATGCAGCAGTCCAATGGGTTCAAATCTGGACTGTTTGGAGGCAATGAACCTTGTCGGTGCAGGAGGAAGTTATCGGCATACCATTTTTGTCAATATATGGCTTTGTGCCATCTTATTGAAAGGTCCTTTCGTCCCCGAATACCTGGCCACCAGGCTTCCAGCCAGACCACAACTTTTTGAGAAACCTCAACAACAGAAATCGAGTGAGATATGAACAAAATACTGAGACCGCCATTTGTTCTGAGACACCCGTTAGCTTCTAATATAGTAACGTCAATGTCTTTAGCTGAAATAATTTCGTTACCTTGTAGTATTCGCGTCATTAAAGTTGTTTGCAAAAATTGAATATGCGCTATGAACCCTTGTAATATGACATTTGTATGGATTCTTTTTAGAAACTCACATCTCTCTATGTATTTGTACGATCTTATTTATAAGTACCTACAGAACAGAGTATATAAAAATTCGCCAACAGAACAGAAAAAATTGAATGAGAAAACAAATAAAATAAAATTCGCCTATTAGATATTTAAGAAATTTTTGAAGTCAAGTCGAGTCTAAATTGTGTTCAGTACCATCGCCTTCGAGTCAAAATGTAGTTAAATCATATTCGCCATTTTTTATTTTCTACGTTGTTTGCTGAAATAGTTTAAATCCTAATGAATGAATCTTATATAAGAGTACTACAGGAACCTTAAAGATTCATAAATCATGAGTCGCGTAACGATCATATAGCAGGGCTGGGCAACTCCGCTCACTTTCAATTCCAATTCCACTTCAACTCCAGCTCCGTTTTCAAATTTCCGATCCAACTCCAGCTCCAACTTCGCTCAAAATTTTTTAACTCTAACTCCAACGCCATCAACAAAAATCTAAACTACGGTTGCTTTACTTTTGTAAGGAAGATTTTTCCAAATCCTGCTAAATTCCACCTTATAAGATGCAAAAAGCGTATAGAAGGTAAAGTCATTGACTCCTATTACACGTTTCCAAGACGAATATTTGTCTTGTTTATTTACTTCCAGATGTTTAATGTCGTTGCCAAATGATTATTTGACAATATCTTCATATACTATAATTATATATAGTTATCCCTTGTTAGCAGTAGAATGAATTGGAAGTGTATAGAAAGATAAAGTCATTGGCTGTCTCATAAACACATCAGCTGTGCTATTATGTAGTAATCAAACTAATCAAATGTATTGTATGCATATTCTGAGGAAGTACCCAGCCGTCATTTATTCAAAACTCTTCACGAGTGTGCTTTTCTACTTTTTTAATTATTCTGTCACTCGCTATGCCTTATTCATGCTACTCTTCTCTCTTCTTTTCTATCACAATAGTGCAGTTATCTTACCACTCCATCGAAGATACCGTACTTAATTTTGTGACACAAGAACTCAATCGCTACATTCCTCTCCCACTACTATTTTTTGGTACCATTAGTAATATTTTGAATGTAATCGTGTTTACTCGTCCTACTGTTCGAACACACCCATGTTCAGTTTACCTCGTTGCTAACAGTATTTCCAACTTTGCTGCACTCTATGTCGATTTAGTTGTACCCTTTCTTGCTTTGTACAACCTTGATCCAACCAAATGGTCGAGTGTTCTATGTAAAATTCGCTTCCATCTTCGATTGACAACTATCACACTCTCGACTTGATTTATCCTATTGGCATGTATTGATTGACTTCTATCAAGTTCTAGTCGAGCTACAGTTCGGGTATGGAGTTCTCGACGTACAGCTCAACGCTTTACTCTTCTGACTGTTATTATTGCTTTTCTCATTCCGTATTCAATATTTTTCTCTTGCTATGAAATCGTTAACAACAGTGCATGTAATGTAAGAGACAATACGTGCAAATTAATCACTGATGTTATTGCGACGGTATGCAATTGAGGAATGCCGCCTATCCTGATGATTGCAGTGAGTATTATAACAATTCGCAGTATTCAACGTGTAGATCAGAGATTACAGCAGGCTCGTCATTGAGACAAGCCATTAATTCAATTGTTGCTTGCACAAATTATCATGCTCGTTGTACTGTATGCAATACCAGTCACAGCGCAAAAGCTCTATTCCGACATTACTATTTACATGGCTAAAATCCCAGTACGTCGAGCCAGTGACAGTCTCATTAACCAAATATCTATTGAGATATCATATATCAGCAATAGCACGACATTCTATATATTTTCATTTATAAATCGAAGTTTTCGAAGTCGTTCGCATTCTCTCGAAGATGTTTTCCAGCTGCTGCTGTTGTTTCTCAAAATCGAATATTGTACGTCCTGCAGCAGCAACACTGAACGTAAATCCATCGGTGATCGACACCGTCAAAACTTTATCGAAGAACCACATTGCACTAAGGCAAAGATGATAGGCTTGTTAACACTAAAGTTGATTTGAAAATTGACTCTTTTGTTTTTGTTAGTTTGGGCATGCAATGAGTAACATTGTATATCCAAATATCAAGAATCTGTTCCTTCCGTTTACATTCAATTCAGCTACAATTTTATTGCAACGCGAGCAGCTGAGCATTTTCAATTTTTCTTCATGCATCAATCGATAAAAGTTGTACCATGTTTGAAAATTCGCGTAACATCCTGAGACACCTCCGGACCGGATTTTCTTGATATTTAGGAATTTGAAGCGCATCGAAACATAGATTATCGACCACGCGGAGTGTCGTAGTAGCATTTCTTTTCCGACAAAGTTCAAAAAGACAGTCCAAAAACATTGTGGGCAAATAAAATGTCCTTATCGGTACTGGTCTTTCCACTGAAACTGAATTGCTTTATTCATTTGATGCATCATCGCATGAATTTAATCAGGCAACAAATATTCGTCTTGGAAACGTGTGATAAGAGTGATGTCCGAACCCTTTTTTGCTGTTGATTTTTCAGACACTTTTCTTCATCGTTTTACTATGCCTGAGTGCTGGCTTTTAAAAAATGTTGCCTTCGTCAGGATTTCGAAAAAGTTTTCTCAAAGCATTACTTTGAAGCCGTATCTAGTAGACGGCGAACTATACATTTATTAGGAATATTGCTTTTAAAGGTGCTGTTTAAAAGTTGGCAGCCAAGAGAACCAGTGAAACCCTAAAAGCACTATTACCGAAAAAGTTGCCGGTCTCTCGCTCCTCGTCCTTAAAATATACAAGAATTGGACAAAAAGAGATTGTACAAACAATTACACAGAGCCAGTTTTGGTCGTTTAAAGCTTGGGATCAGTCAACGACATAAATATCTTTACTCAGCTTCTCCTCGTTACTGTGGATCGCAGTTTGAATCTATATTAACTATTCGAAATAGCTATTGACATCGTAACGAGTGGTAGAAGAATTGAAAAAGTAGAAAAGCGCACTCGTGAAGAGTTTTGAATAAATGACGGCTGGGTACTTCTTCAGAATATGCATACAATACATTTGATTAGTTTGTTTACTACATAATAGCACAGCTGATGTGTTTATGAGACAGGCAATGACTTTACCTTTCTATACACTTGAAATACGTTATAATGGTAATAGGGGTTATTCTAGGTCGCGGACCTTTGATGACTCTCGCGTTTCGCGAATAAAATAAGTTAAACCAATAACTCTATGAAAAATAGAATTATCCAGTTATTGCACGATGTTTTACCCGCTTTTTTCTTCAAGA